GTCTTAAATCTGGCCCTGAACTCAAAGCTCCGTAGCTCCATGGAGCGATGGCTAACATGTACGATCTGAGGCTCAAACACTAGTTTTCGACAGCACCATAAAGTATCGCAATCGTATTTTTTTTATGGTAATATCAATTTGTTCTTACGTCTGTTAGGGGTGCTGCTTAGTTTTCATAGAAACTAACTTGTTACGGAATGTCAAAAAGTCGTGCTTGGGCCTTTGTTTTTTTAAATTTACGCCTTTTTTTTGAGAGGAATAATAACACTGCATTTATTCAAATCCATTATTAAATAAGTTTAAAAAATAGGCTACTATAGAAGATCAAGGGTCTCTGTATTGATGATAATGTTGTAACTTGTATCACTATAGTCCAGGAATTTTATCACCAAAAATCGGTCCGCTCTGCATAAAATCCTTCTACGTGATTTTTTGATTGGATTATATCAGAGGGTGCCCCCTAAGTATAAAACCGAGTTTCTGTCGCCCGAAACCGCGAGCGTTAGCCGCCATCTTGGAAACCGTTTTTTTTGCATATATCTCGGAAACGGTAAGTTTTACGTTAAAAACCGAAGAGATCTTTTTTTGTAGAGAACAAAATTTCCCATCTTTTTTATACCAAACTTTTCCCCCTATTGTTGATACACACATCAAAAGTGTCTAGGGATCAAGCATTTTTATGCGGATTTCTTGAGATTGAGATGTGGCTTTGTAATAAATTTATGATTTTATAAATTTATTTGGATCCTTTTTGGTGCATTTCATAATTTGAATCAGGAACTGTGAATCAAATTCGAGTAAAAGATGAAAATCAGCTGTCAATATTTTCCCTATAAAAACATACAACGCATTGAAGACATTATTAGTGCTACTGTTTCCCTACTACTGATTAAAACCAACGTTATTATGGAGCGGCGACGTCATTTAAGCAGGGAAGAAATGCTCAGAGCCGTGGGAATGATAGAAGCTGGTTCCCGGCAACGTACTGTGGCTTTAGCTCTGAATACAAGTCAGAGTGTTATCAGTCGACTTTGGACACGATACCGAAGCACTGGTACCGTGGCTGAGCGCCATGGAGGACGGTATCGCTGCACCACACGGAGACAAGACCGATACATTCAAATCTTAACTCGAAGAGCTCCAACAATAACCGCCATGATGTTAGCCGTGAGGCTTCATCACTCTTCAGGGAACTTAATTAGCGACCAAACAGTCAGAAACCGCTTGCATGAAGTGAACCTTCATTCCCGAAGACCGCTACGGGTACCACCTATAGCAATGCACAATCGTAGGATTCGATATCAATGGGCTCTTGAACACAGAAATTGGGCAGAAGAACAATGGCGTTTCGTGTGCTTTTCTGATGAGTCTCGTTTTGGTATGAGACCGGATACAAGACGTATACGACACTGGAGAACCCCTGGACGCCAACAGCGATTAAAATCCTGCCAGGAAGTCCATCCTTATAGTGGTGGAACCATCATGGTATGGGCGGGTATTTGGATCGGCGGAAGAACTGAGTTGATTTGGATCAGAGGCAACCTCAACGCTCAAATTTATGCTGAGACGATTGTATCAGACGTCATCGTTCCTCTACAAGTGCAAATCGGTCCCTTATTTCAGTTAATGCATGATAATGCACGACTGCACACCGCAAGAGTTGTAAGACAGACTCTCGCCGCAGCTAACATCAATGTCCTGCCCTGGCCTGCTCAGTCGCCAGACTTGAACCCGATTGAGCATGCATGGGATATGCTACAGAGAAGAGCTCTGCCGAATATGGAGGGTATCCAGTCGCAGGAAGACCTTTTTTTGTTGTTGCAACGAACATGGGCGGCCATTCCACAGCGTGATTTGGATGAACTCATTTTGAGTATGCCAAACCGATGTTCTTGTGTTGTTAGTGTTCGCGGTAGAAATACGGATTATTAATTGTTTAAGTTACCCAATAAAATTTTAGAGAAAACTGTTATTTCAGTCTTTTTTTCGAACTTTTGTGTTAGTGGTTCAAATGTCAAAAATCCCTTTATTAGGAAAATGGCAAATTTCTTTATTAATGCAAAGGTGACTTGGTTTATCGTTACTGTGACAAACGAAAACACTTTATTTGATGAATCCTTAAAGAAAATTTTAATTAATATCAATCAGGAGAAAAGTTATTGCAAAAATATATGTTGATCCCTAGACACTTTTGATGTGTGTATTTTCCGATATATTGAAGTAAAAAAACCAAATTTTTTGTTTTTGTAAAGTATCTCAATAATTTTTGGAGATACGAAAAAAATGTTTGAATTAAAGTTGGAGAGCATGAAATTTTCTACAAATTTTGTATAAAACTTTTTCTTGCAAAATGATTAGTTGCTGAGTTCCAGCTGAATAAAAATTGTCACCAGGAATCGAAAATCAGCGATGAGCGGTAATACGTTACTCTGGCATGCAAACAAAAAAGTATAATCGAAAAATTTTATCATGAAGACGGTAACGATTTTATTTATCGTGAAAAGGAGGGAAATGAAAGATTAAAAAGGAAATTTTGCACAATAAAAATATTTTAACGAATTATTGGAAAAAGGAATGAAAATTTATTCATGTATCCAAATTCATTATCATTTGCGCGATATAAGTCGCTGTTTACAAATCAGGATCGCAGAATATTAATTTAATAAATTGTATTTGATAAATTGTATTCGTCGATGTTAGATTTATAAAATTTTTCGTTGTTTACAACCGGAAGAATTTTTTTTTTTAATTTTACGATTTTTATTTTCATTTTAACGGCGTTCCGACTTAAATTACTTACCTTCTGTAAAACAATACTTTACGCGGAGACATTGAATTTACTTATACTTTTTGTTTGCATGCGAGAGTAACGTATTGCCACTTACCGCTGATTTTCATGATCTTTTATTGCGCTAGAACTCAGCAACTAATCATTTTGCAAGAAAAAGTTTTATACAAAATTTGTAGAAAATTTCATGCTCTCCAACTTTAATTCAAACATTTTTTTCGTATCTCCAAAAATTATTGAGTTACTTTACAAAAACAAAAAATTTGGTTTTTTTACTTCAATATATCGGTAAATATCAACAATAGGGGGAAAAGTTTGGTATAAAAAAGATGGGAAATTTTGTTCTCTACAAAAAAGATCTCTTCAGTTTTTAACGTAAAACTTACCGTTTCCGAGATATATGCAAAAAAACGGTTTCCAAGATGGCGGCTAACGCTCGCAGTTTCGGGCGACAGAAACTCGGTTTTATACTTGGGAGGCACCCTTCGACATAATCCAATCGAAAAATAACGTAGAAGGATTTTATGCAGAGCGGACATCTAAAAATCTTGGACTACTACCAGAAGTTTCACATTTTATAACAATATAGCTTTATTGATAAGTGGGCCGATTATTCAACTTTACCCTAAAAGTTGTTACGATTAAGTGCTCATTTTTCTCTTTTTTAAAAAACAGCTTGAGTAGGTGGTAGAGCAAAACAAACAGGTAAACGATTCAATGAATTATTATTTTATATTCATAGTTTTTATTTGTTAATTTAAATAGGGTGCATAGCAGGATTTCCGCTCAAATTGAAGCGTCCGCACTCGTCTAGGGAAGTAAACTTTCACCTTACCGAAGACCAGTACAAAACAAAGACCACATTGGTATGACAGCCTTTTGGGGTGTTCTTTCTGTCGGTGAGTAATTCTAAGGCTCCACCGGGTAGGTGATAGGATCAGGGATGGATCAGGGTAAGGAAGGAGTACTATTCTGGAAATGCAAGCGTCTATATTATAAATAAATAAATAATTAAATATTTCCAACACTCACACCAATTAGCCTAGCCCCAAAGTAAGCACTGTAAGGCTTGTGTTATGGGATACTAGGGTAACGGATAGAATACATATACTGTACATATATAAGTATATTCACATAGAAATACATATTAAACATCCATGACTGGAGTACAAATGCTCGTGTTCATCACCACAAACATCTGCCCCCACCGGGATTCGAACCCGGGACCTCCCGAATCGGCGACACCATGAAACCCGGCGTACAAACCACTCGGCCACGGAGGTCGTCTTTATTATTCTTCTTCCTCAACCACTACCCACCCACGGCTGGGAAAAGGTATCTTTCACTGCACTCCAACTATTATGATCTCTGGTAGTGCTCCTGGTGACAGGAAAAGTACAGGGAAGACGACCAAGTGGAAGAAGCCCCATGCACTGGACAAACCAGATCCGCGACAACACCAAAATTGGAGTCCGCGATGCACTTCACACTGCCGAAGACCGCAACAAGTGGAAAGCGAGCGAAGCGAGTCCACGTCGTCTTTTCCGGCAAGGAGAGGGCTCATCCCGGAGTTGTCGTGGGTAGGACCTGGAGGGGAGGGGGAATTCCGAGCAGTCATTAAGCCAGCGTTAGGGTTGACTGAATGCGTAGGCGAGAGGTAGGCTGAAACATACATTTTTAAGAATTATATTACTCGGTAATATATTGAGGTTAAGCTTTGAATAATCACCATACACACGTAAGTAGGTAGTCATTAAGCATTGCGTTTATTCAGTATTTTCCAACCAATTAGGTAAAGGGCTAAAATTACAAAATGACTACACACAGGTATTTACCTTATTTACGTAAAACAAATCCATGGCCTATTAAACGAATTGATACTGCTTACATACAGACAGTATTACAAAACCAAAGTGTGTTGTGTTATTAACCAAAGAGATTTATGTGCGATGTTCGCAACCTTTTAAACCGGTTGGGTTATGTTGATGTGAATAAAAAATAATTATAATAAAAGCCTTCAAGTTCAGTTCGCGCCAGTGGCTACGCGCGGACGCTCAAAACTTTGCGATCGCAATACATGCCAAACTATTTCGTTATAATGTGCATTTAAAAAAAAGTAAAAGTGATAGCCTAGCTCGTTTTGGCGGGAAAACTTTCGTTGTTGTTTAATCTTTAAGTTAAAAAATATATTTTTATAATTTAGGTAATAAAGATGACCACCAAATTAATAGGTGTTACTGTGATATTATTTTTATTAGTTTTTATTAGGAATGCTCTGCTACAAGGATCGGGGGAAAATGGAAATCGTGAGTTTAAAATTGCTTTACTTTTTTTTAATTTTTTTGTCTTCGGTTTACTTACTTGATAAGTATATTAACCTGAAAATAATATTGATTGATTAATTAACAAATCTTAATCCTCTTCTCTTTTATTTAAACCAACAATTTATTAAAATAACTCACCATTACTATTATATTATAAATAATTAAAAAAATCATACACAGGTATTTTCTAAATAGTGAATGGACAAAAGATTTAAGGACCATTCAAAAGAGCTTTTTCAATAAGTTAATTTGAATAAAATTTATTTTTAATTTTATTTCATTACCTATTAGTAGGTAGCGACCGCCCGCGACTTCGTTTTTTTTTAAATCCTACAGGGACCTGTCGTTTTTTCTGGAAAAAGTTACTTTACGGCGTACGAAATTTAATTTAATTTCGTTTAGTAGTTTTTGTGTGAACCAATGTACAAACATAGAATCTTGCACATTTATAATATTACCAGGATAAAATATACAATAGGTATATAATTAAAAATAATCTACATCGAAATTAGGTACAAAGCATAATCGAATTGAAATTATACTAAGTGTAATTTATGACGAATGTTGTTCATCATCGCTAATAGCGGAAGTCGTTAGAAAATCACATAATTTTAATAGCCTAACTTAAATTTATTATTCGAACAAACAATAATTACACATTGAAATCATTCAATTAAATATGAATACTTACCATTCATAAAATTTAATTCCTACATAATATAGGAGTATCTTTATATATATAATTCTTCTGTCTGTATATATATATATATATACTAGCTGACCCAGCGAACTTCGTACCGCCCTAAAAAAATAGGGGTTGTCCAGCGGACAAAATTGTGAATCTAAACCATTCTCAGATCCCCTTGAACACACACAAAAAATTTCATCAAAATCGGTCCAGTCGTTTAAGAGAAGTTCAGTGACATACACACTCACAGAAGAATTATATATATAAAGATATAGGACGTCCTGAGACAAGACAGGATGATGATATTCGTAAGGCTGGCTGGAGTGGGCTGGATGAGAGTAGCACAAAATCGGGAGCAGTGGCGTATATTAGGGGAGACCTATGTCCAGCAGTGGACGAACATGGGTTGATGATGATGATGATAGGAGCAGGCGCGGTCCGAAGGGGGGGGGGGGGGGTCACAGGGGACATGACCCCCACCAAAATCTAAGGTCAAATTGAAAAATCTTGTGTTTAAAAGTGTCTTGTGGAATAATGTTTATTTTATTCCAGATACCTATTTTTTATTAGTGTAGTGAGTAACCCCCTCCAAAATTTCAGGCTGCGACCGCACCTGATAGGAGTTACTGGTACTGGGGCGATTGAATAAAAGGCGACTCATCGTTGAAACTAAAAGTTGCTATTTATGTTTGAGTTATTTTTCTGACTTTTGACTTTTATGAAATTCTTAGTTTCCTCCCCTTTCCTAACTTCGGTGTAGACAGGGGAGTATTTTCCTTAGGGACAACAGGGCCATGGGCCGGGGCGACAGACTAGAGGGGCGGCTGCAAGTAGGGTTACCATCCGTCCGGACTAGTCCAGATATGTCCGGACTTTTAGACTATAGTCCGCACTTTGTCTGGATCTTTATCTTTTTGAATTACTTTGTATTTAAATAATAAAATAACATATTGATTTAAATACCATACCATTGTGGCTAAGTGACTTATGGTACCATTTCGTGACTAAAAAGTCTAGACTTTTTTCGAAAGGTCAGGTTTTTTGTCAGGACTTTTGAAATTCCTAAATGGTAACCCTAGCTGCAAGAGATGCGAAGGGCGGCACAAGGCGAAGGCATTCGATATTTCTCATGTGACTAGTTTGATTTGTCTTTTTTTCATTTATTTTGGTAACAAACAGACATTTTCATGATATTTGTAAATATTTATAGACCTAACAGTGCCCAAAGCTTGTTACAGTTAAAGTAGCAAAAAGAGTCTTAACATAGTAAGATTTGCACTTGTATTCATCTAATACTAAACAACCGATTGACATAAATATTAAACATCTAATAATAAAAACAAAGATTTACATAAACACATTTTTTTTCATTTTTCCATCAAAATATGCCATTTAGTTTTCTCTTTAAACCATTGATAACGTGCCCTGCAAAACTAAGTACATATCACATTTCTAAAATTTTAATATTTTCTAAACTGCAGAAGTTAGAGATTTAAAATAAAAATCATTTTATAGCAAATTTTAATCAGCTTTCTTTGAAAGTGTAGTACAAAATGAAACTCTTTTTCGAGTCGTATTTATTTCGATACTAAGTATATCTACTTCCAGACATTTATCGGCCCACATAGAATTTTAAGTTTTGATTTAACGATCCCTAGCTAAAAATAATAGTAACATTGAGCTTAAAGTTTTTACGCACTTTCTCAGCTGATTTGTCAACCATCTATTACTAGTTTTATAAAATATATTTATATTGCTCAGCTTAGGACATATTTTTGCTATAGTCCAAACTTAAGTGGGTCGATAGATGTGTCTGGAAGTGTATATCTTGTGTACTTAAAAAAATATTGGAATTTCAAGTGTGATACTTAATTATGTTGGCCAGTGTAGATTACAAAGATCTAAGTAGATTAGAGAACTCTTTGTTATAAACATTGGGTACACATATTATTTGTTTTTTTGATTTCCTAATTCTAATTAGTTTTTGTTCACCGGGCATGTTTTATTTTATACGTATAATATTTAATACACCTTTTTCTTGAATCCTATATTCAGCGCTGCAAAGTGCATTAAAATCCGTAGTTTAAAACATCCAAGCATACAGACAGCAGGAGCGACTATTTTATACTATGTTAAAGATACTTGTTGCTATCTTCTTCACTATACAGCAAGACGTTTTCCTTGCTGTACCTATTAAAAATATTTCAAAGTCTAAAACTATACTTAATAACTACCTTGTTTGGTTGTATTTTCCTTGTAAATCTCGTTTACATATAAGTATACCTAACTGCAACAAAATCAGAAAATATTGCTAAAGACTGCGTCCGTATAGCTAAAATGACTTCCGTGTTTTTTTCTTCAAATTGTATGTTGAAATGATGCTTGATTAAGTCATTTTTACTTATATGTATTATATAAATGCGAAAATGTCTTTCTGTCTGTTGCCTCTTCACGCTTAAACCGCTGAACTGATTTAGATAAAATTTTAAATGGAGATAGTTTGAGTTCCGGGAAAGGATATAGAAATATTTTTATCCCAGAAATCCTTTAAGAGGGTGAAAGCGATGTGAAAGTTTGTATGGGATATCAATTTTGTACCCAACCAGTAATTTCGTATAACGCAGCGTAAATTATAAAATTAAAATAATTAACAGCACTGCCGTCCTCAAACCAAAGTGCTGCTAAGTGACATGTAGTCGATTTTTCAGTCCTAAATTTCATCTTTTACAATTTTTAATTCACTATCGAACTGTCTTTAACAAGCATTTGTATCCTTTATAGTTTCAGTCTAAAATCCGTCATGTGATGAATGGTTACAAATAGCAATAATTTAAAGTTTTCGCCATATATCAAAAGTTGGTATTGTCATTTAGCCGCATTTTAGCTTGAGGAAGACAGAGCAGTTGTTGACAATGGCGTCTCTGCTTGTAAACGCCAAAACAAATAAAAAGATACAGTACGTTGAGATACTTAGATCTCAAAAAAATAGTTCTCCTGGTGATCAAATATTCGTCACTTCTAAGTAAAAATTGTACCACGACATGACGTCATGCGACATTTCAAAATCAAATCAACTTACCTAAATACGTGTCTAAAACCTTTTCGTAATCAATTTATCTGATTGTCGTAGAAAAAACTTAGTTCTTAATATTACATGTACCTAATTAAATTGTAATTTGTATAATTTTATTGTATATTAAATTTTAAACTCTCCCGAGTTTAATTAAAGAGGTCAAAAAACTAAGTTATATGTATTTACTTACCAGTAAAAACTTAACCTATAAAAATGGAACAGTAACTTGCTTACGATAGGAGCTCCTACAATCAGGGTTCTTGGAACTACAAAAAGTACCTTTCCTGTTGTTTACGGGCAACATTGCTGTAGCAGGAAAACCATGGCTTACGTAAGTACTTGGAAATCTTGGAATTACCCACTTGTAAAATTGTCCCGTTAATTTGGCTGAATATTGTTACAAATTAATGTAAGACATAGGATTTTTTTAAAAATTTTCCGGGTAAAAACTAAATTGGTGGTTCCTAACGAATTAAAAAAAAAAGTTTTTGGTGGCCGTTAGTATGTGTATAATCAATGCCCTTCTATTATATACTACTTAAATGATACCTACATGCCGGGGAACAAAAACTATTTTTAACCGAAGCGAAGGAAGAGAGGTTTATTTTGACGACAACCGTGGCCGAGTGGTTTGTACGCCGGGCTTGATGGTGTCGCCGACTCGAGAGGTCCCGGGTTCGCATCCTGGTGGGGGCAGATGTTTGTGTGATGTATACGAGCATTTGTACTCCAGTCATGGATGTTTAATATGTATTTCTATATAAAAATATACTTATATATGTACAGTTTAAGTATTTTATCCGTTACCCTAGTATCCCATAACACAAGCCTTACAGTGCTTACTTTGGGGCTAGGCTAATTGGTGTGAGTGTTGGAAATATTTATTTATTTTTATTTAAAAAGAATTATAGATAAATGATGGAAGGAAAAAATTATGAGTATAGGCTTATCATAACTAGACGCAATTTATTTTTGGATTTTGCTTCAATATTTGGTAACTATTTGAACTTTAGCCTCAGACGTGTGATGTATTGTTATTTTCAGTTTTAACATTAAATGTCAATTGATCCTGAAAATATATTTTTAAATTTTACTAATTCATTGAGCCAGTTCAAGTATTGTTTTAATATAAATCAGTCTACCGCTCCAGTCATTGCTTACACTGGTATAGATTTAGCTATGCTCAGAGTTTTGACCACACCTTGTTATTTGAAAGACTGA